CTGAGCCCCCAGACCTGGGCAACCAGCACCTGGAGAGCTCCCTGACCCAACCCCAGGGGTCTCTGAGCCGCAAATCTGAGCCCCCAAAGCCCCGTGGGACCGGGGGAGCTCCCCAAGAGTCTCTGAGATCCCCAGGCTGGGGGTCCTGGTCCCCGTGATCCCCTGGCTCCACTTCGGTGACTCCACAGCCCCCTGGATACAGGGACCCTCTGCCCCACCTGGGGGTCCCAGATCTGACCCCCCACCATACCAACACTCCTGTCCCCACTGACCCCTCCCATTCCGCAGGTTTCTAGCCCCCCTTTCCCTCAGACCCTTCCCCTTTCAGCCCCCCACCCCAGACACCCACCCGAGGGCACAAGGAGGGGACAAGGACACCCCCAGGCCACCCCCTGCCATGTCTGAGCAGGAGGAGAAGACCCTTTGTGGGGGTGAGTGAGACACTGTGGGGTGGGGGCTCCTCCCAGCAGGGAGGGGATGGGGGGGGCTGCACCCCCCAGCCTGGACCCTCACCCTGAGATCCCACAGACCATGAGGGGACATCCCCAGGAGTGACCCTCAGCGACAACCTCATCCTCACCAGGAGCAGGTGAGGACCCCACGGTCCTTGGGCTGGCAGGGAGGGGGCTCTGGGCACCCCAAAGACACCCCCTCTCCATTCTTTTCCTCCAGATCCACGGAGCTGCTGCCCCCCTCCACCATCCGCCTGGACAGGGAGAACATCTCCTCCATCGGGAAGCTCAAGGATCAGGGAGGGATCCACAGCCTCTACCTGCAGCAGGTATGGAGCTGTGGGGCAGCTGAGACAGACCCTGGGCCTGGGGGGGGACACAAAACCCCCCAGATCTGCTCCTGTCTCCCCTCCCCTGTGTCCAGAGGGGAGGGAAAATAGTCTCCCTCCATCCAGGAATCTGGTCCCACTGACCACCCCCCACAGCCCCACCCCAGAGGTCTCTGAGCCCCCCAAACCTGGAGGAAAAAGAGTTTCCCTCCCATCTGATACCAATCCCACTGGAATTCCAGTGAGGGTCTGGGATCAGCCGTCCGGTGTTTCCAAACCCCACACGAGGAGCCTCAGGGTCCTCCTGAATTTTGGGGTCTCTCCATGTCCTCACCCCTGCAATTCCCTCTCCATGATCTCCCCTGTGGTGGGACATTCCACCCCCGATCCCAGGACGCTCCCCAAATCCCCAAATTTTTCATGCCGCAGAAAAAACGCATTGTTATATTTGATTTTCTATTTTCTACTTTATTTTCCATTTTCTATCTTTATTTTCCAGAACAAAATCGAGAGGATCGAGAATTTGGGCTGTTTTCCCAACCTGAGGTATGGCAGCTCCTGCTTCCAGGGAAATGGCTTTCCATGGGCTCCCACCTTCCCCTGGCCAGGGAAGGGGCTCAAATTCCAGCCCCTGGGAGCTGTGACATTCCCCCCTCACCCTCCCCCGTGCTCTCCAGGTTCCTCTGCCTGGCTGGAAACCGCATCCAGAGGGTGGAGAACCTGCAGCCCTTGCCTCACCTGTGTGCCCTGGACCTGTCCCACAACCTCATCCAGGTGCTGGATACAGGTGGGAAGCAGGAAGGGATCCCAGGGCTGCCAGTGTGTGTGGAATATCCATTCCCACCTTCCCTGCCTCCGTTTTCCCAGCTCTGGGGTTTCAGGGCTGCTCTGGGAGTCGCCTTGGGAGTGGGTGAAGAGCTGGGGGAGTTTGGGGGAGCAGGAATTTGGCTGGGCAGGGGTGGGGGGCTCAGGTCCCACCTCAGCACCTTTGTGCTTCCTTTTGTCCTGGCAGAGGAGCTGCCCCAGAGCCTCCAAATCCTGGATTTAACGGGAAACGAGTGCACCCGGCAGCAGGGATACAGGTGGGTCAGGGGGAGAGAAGGGGGAGAACAAGCCCCCCCCCAAAAAAAACAGGGGAGCCTCTCAGCAGGGTACAAACCCCCCAAACCAGGAGAAGCTTTGGGGTGACCTAATTGTGACCTCCCAGTGCCTAAAGATGGACAGAGACTTTGGAAAAGGGCCTGGAGTGACAGGACAAGGGGAATGGCTTCCCACTGCCAGAGGGGTAGAAGGGATATTGGGAAGGAATTCTTCCCTGTGAGGGCAGTGAGGGGCTGGGATGGATTTCCCAGAGAAGCTGTGGCTGCCCCTGGATCCCTGGAAGTGTCCAAGGCCAGGCTGGACAGGGCTGGGAGCAACCTGGGACAGTGGAAAGTGTCCCTACCTGTGGCAGGGGGTGGGTGGTCTTCAGGATCTCTCCCAACCCAAACCATTCCACGAGACATCAAATCCAAACCCCCAAGCCCAGGGATGTGAATCCCTGCCCTATGCCCGGGCTGGGGGTGGGCTGTGCAGTGGGGACACGGTGCCAGGGGGGTCGGTGCCACCTCAGGTGAGGGGGGGCATTGGCTCTTCCCTCATTTTTTCCAGGGAGCTGGTGTTGGGAGCGCTGCCCCACCTCCTGCAGCTGGATGCCCAGCCCCTCCGTGGCAAGGAAGAGGAGGGAGGAGGCTCTTCCCGCGGCGAGGATGAGGATGATGAGCTGCTCCCTGAGCCCGGCGGCCCTTTCACCGTGGACAGAGGTGCCCAGGGGGCTGAAGGGGACACGCGGCACTCCTGGGGACAGGGGTGGCAGTGCCACATCCCCCCTAATCCTTCTCCCTCCTCGCATCCCTGGCAGGTTTCTTCGCGGATCTGCGCCGGGAGCTGGTCGGGCGCTCCCAGCGGAGGAGGAGGGAGACGCTGGAGGAGCACCGGGCGCGGCTGGAGGAGCTGCAGGAACGCCGGGATCTGCTGCTGAGCCGGGATCGGGATGGAGCTCCCGACTCCGCAGCCCCGCAGCCCCGGCAGGGCCATTCTCGGCCTCGGGCACAGCCAGGGACACCCCTCCGGGGATCCCACGGGTCCCAGCGAGCTCCTGGTGGCGTCCAGTCCCGGAGAAAAACTCTGGAGAAGGAGACTGGTGCCAAAGGAACAGGGAATAGGCAGTTATCCCAAATATCCCGCAGCAGCGTGGCACAGCGTGGCCAGGAGTAAAGGTTTTGTTCCCACCCCAATCCCGTGTGGATGCCATGGATCCCCCACCCTGCAGCCATCTCAGGGGCCTGGCACAGTCAGGGCTCCAAACCCCACTCCATATCCCTCTCCTTCCCCCTGCACCTCATTCCAGGCCATGGAGACATCTCAGTGCTTTTCTCCAGGGTAAATTAGGGGCTGGAGGTCCCACACCCCCAAGCAGGGCTGGAGGAAGGAGGGAGCCAGGGCTGGACACCAGGAATGTTTTCTCATTCCCTACCCAGGAGCAATTCCAGGGGGGAAGCCAAGCCCACCCACCTGTGGGGGGTTTATGTGTAAAACTTCAGCTCTGCCTCCACGCAGTCGAAGAAGAGGTCGGCCAGTTCCTCCGGGTGGGGGGTCTCTGTCCCCTCCAGCAGCGCCTTCATCCCCTCCAGGCCCTGCTTCTCCAGCTCCTGCAGCGTCTCCAGGAGCTTCTGGCCCCGCTCCTGGTGGGATCAGGGAGGGAGGAGAGCTCAGGGAATCTGATCCTCATCACAGGGGGCAGTGCGAGGGTCCCAGAGTGGGGAGGAGTCTGCGGGGTCTGTGGGATCTGCGGGGTCTGTGGGATCTGCGGGGTCTGCGAGGTCTGTGGGGTCTGTGGGATCTGTGGGGTCTGTGGGATCTGCAAGGTCTGTGGGGTCTGTGGGATCTGTGGGGTCTGTGGGGTCTGTGAGGTCTGCAGGGTCTGTGGGATCTGCGGGGTCTGTGGGGTCTATGGTACCTGGTCCTGCTCCATGAGCTCCAGGGCCGCCTGGTGCCGGCGGTACAGCTCGTGCCGCCGATCCACCGAGCTCTGGAAGCGCGGGATCTGCTTGGCAGGGTCACGGGGGAAGGTCGGGGACCTCACCTGCGGCACGGGCTTGATGCCGGCCACGAACACGAAGGGCTTGAAGACAGACCTGGGGGAGAGGAGCACCGGCATGAGGGGGGGTGGAGGCCCTGCTTCCCGGGAATGCCTCATCCGGGAGCAGGGCTGGGCCCCCCGAGGGCCTCACCTGGAGGGGTCGGGGGTGGCAGTGAAGAAGTGGACACAGGGCAGGGCGGGGTCGCGGGGCAGCACGGACACCATGCTGCCCGCCGTGCGGAACCCCTCCGAGTCCACGCAGATCCCGCTGCCCTTGTCCCGCAGGATGGACATCAGTGTCTCTGCTGTGATGTGACCTGGCGGGACAGGCAGGGACATGGCACTGCTATCCCTGTCCTTGTCCCTGTCACTGTCCCCATCCCTGTCCTTGCGCCCACCCAAGTGCTGCCACAGCAGCTCCTTGCCGGTGAGGAACAACCCTTGGCAATCCATGGCTGGCCATCCCAATCCCTGTCCCACTCCCTATCCTGTCCCTGTCCCCATTCCTATCCTTGTCCCTGTGCCCATCCGAGTCCCTGTCCCCCCCTCCATGCTGCTGCAGCATCTCTGTGCCAGCAAAGACGCAGCCCTTGGCAAATCATGGATGACCATTCCCATCCCTGTCCCTGTCCCCATCCCTGTCACATCCCAGTCTCTGTCCCTGTCCTGTCCCCATTCCCATCCCTGTCCCCATCCC